TCAACTGGTCAGGGTTCTAGATTTTGATTTGCTTTTTTGTTCCTGGCAAAAGTTATTGCACTGACCAATTAGATTTAGATTTGCTTTTTTTGTTCCTGGCTAAAATTTATTGCACTGAAGTATGGCTAACCTATTTGGACAAAATGGATATTTTGTACGATCTAGCAAGTTATATAAACACTGCATCAAAATTCTCTCTATGTATTTTAAAAATTAATGATTAGAACCTTTACCTTTTGTTTTGGCTAACTAGATTTATACCAATGTCTGCCCATACCAATAACTACATACTTTACAAACTTACATGTATATTGTACATATGCAAGGCAAGATCATGGCAAGTTGCTCAACTTTTTATTACATTTTCCTTTAGTTAACATTCCTTTAAGCACTTGGAACAGCTATTGCTGCTATTATTATAAGGATCAAGTAAAGTAAATGTAAACTGAAAAGCCACTGTTTTTATTGGCCATATTTTTTAGAATATGATTATCTAGTTACTCACAATAATAATGGGGATAGGTAGTATTATGTTTAACAAATAATCCTTGAATGATTATTACAGATTGTAGATTCATTGATAAAGGCTGGAAGTAGTTTGAATGTGAGAGATAAATCTTCTGGTAACACAGCTTTACACAGTGCTCTCCATCATTACAACAGTGAAGCAGCTGAACTTCTTATAGATGCAGGTATATATATTGTGTATTTGTTTGGTATACAGTACAAACTTCTGGGATTGTCCCGAAAATCAGGTGACTTTCTTAGAAGCATCCCAGATTTTCATCCTGAAAAAGAATAAAAGTGATAAATCTCCTATACAGAAAAGAAAAAAAGGTGTCCTGTCTGAAAATTATGGCTTGTGTATGATTGTAATGCTTTGTGCTATATGACAGTTATTGTATTGCTGAGTGTCACTTGTCAATTTCACTAACACCTCTGTTATAGTCTCATAGCTCATAGTAGTTGGAAACTGTCCGAAAAACAATTGCATGATAAATATATTTACTTATAAACTTATGAAGATAACTAGATCTAAGGGGGCACAATGAACTACAAATTGTTCATTTTTAGGTCCCCTGCCCTCTAGGAAGTAAATGTTTTGTAAATAGTCAGATCCATAGGTTCTTGGTAAATACATGTGATCACTATATAGGCATATCAATCTAGTCAAGTTGGATGACAAGCATAACAGATTCTCGCACTCTGTAACTACTTAGTATGACTTATAATTTACCGCTCAATATCTTAAGAAATTTGACAGATCTTAACTGGAATAAAAAAACACAAATATATTTCACTGGATCTCTTTCCACTTGTTATTCAAGGACCTTTTTTCCCCATTAGATATCTTCATACTAATGGGTGTATTTTCTGATATTTAAAATACATTGTGTACATATTTAATTTGTTACAAGCATGTTTTTGATTACAGGTTGTGATGTGAATGCCTTAAATGGAAAGAGGATCACCCCACTGTACATGGCCTGTGAGAAAAATGAGGATAAAATTGTTAGAAAAATCCTGAAAAATAAGAGATTCTCACCAAAGTTTTTCAGTATTACACAGATACCCCAGCCATTGTTTGCAGCAGTCAAGAATAACCATGTTCATCTTGTTGACCTACTTATAAAAGCAGGTTGTGATATTAACATGGTAAGTGTCCAGTACAATATTGAACTGTTTTCCTATTTATTTCATCTAGTAGGTAGGTGGTTTTGTCTACTTAAATAATCCTGATACTAAGGTATAGCTCTTAGTATTAAAGTTGTAGTAACATTAACAGTAAATGTAGATGTGCGACTTAAAAATACACCCCCTCCCACTCCACAAAGGGAAAAAAAGCCTTTCTCTACTGATATTCTTGTTACCTAAAATAGAGGTTTGTCTACCTATCTAACTGTAATTAAGGTGAATTTATATATTCAAATCTTCATTTCAGTAAGCCAGTATGGCCAAGAAATGACTGTGCTTCTACTTATATACCTGAATTAGTATATACCAGACAAACTGATATTTTTACAATGAAAACCTTAAAGTTGACATTTAAAACCATTTAAAGATACCCAACTACAGCTAGCCCTTGTGATGATGAAAAAAACCCAAAGACACTCACACACAAAACAAACAAAAAAGAAGAAAAAAACCCAGCAAAATATATGATATAATTTATTAGTGTAATAGTTTGTATAAAGATTTGGTATAAACTTTCATTTGTTTTCTTTTATTTCAGGTTAATATTGAAGGATTGTCTCCTGTTCAAGTGTCAATAAAAGAAAACTGTTCTTTTGTTACTAAACTATTGCTCATGTATAATTGTGACCTTGAAGCTCATGCAAAGGTCAAACGTTTGTTTAAATGTTGCTTGGAGCATGAAGATAATCATCCTCACTTTGGCCTTGAACCTTTGTTTCTGTCCTTGACCCATCGAAGTGTGGAGATGATTCAACTGATAATTAACTGTTATTGGAAACAACCGGTTGCCGTCCTTAAAACTTTAAATCATGTGTTTTCAACTACGCCAGAACTAAGTACGCACTATTCTCCGGAACTGAAAGCTGAAATTCAAAAACTGTTCCAATTATCAATGAGGACACCAAGAGGGCTTCAAGAAAGTTGTCGAGCAGTCATCCGTCAAAAGTTAGGGTCTTGTCCGCAAACCAAGTTAGATAAATTACCAGTGGCCAAACGGTTGCATGGATATCTCTTAATGGAAGAATTTTTTAGTGACTTGTTTGACACAGTCAAAGAAAATGAAGCTGCTCATCCCAAAGATTTTCATGACTTTCATTCTGCAGACGATATTCCTGTTGACCTTGATTTTAGAGAGAGGTCTGAAGGTAGAGACACATGATTCTTAGTACCAGTAAATGCATTCTCTATATAAGGGCTTTGTGGCAATACAGAATCTTTCTTCTACGCAATTTTGTGTTTTAATATTCATCGGATTTACAACAAAACAAATTCATTATCAAAAGTTTACATACAAATTCCATTGATAATTCTTTACAGTTGTAAAGTTACTTTTGAGCTCACCTGTCACAAAGTGACAGGGTGAGGTTTTGTGATCGCTTTGCGTCCGCCGTCCGTCCGTAAACTTTTACTTTAAATGACATCTCCTCATAAACCACTAAGCCAATTTCATCCAAACTTCACAGGAATGTTCCTTTGGTGGTCACCTTTAAAAATTGTTCAAAGAATTTAATTCCATGCAGAACTCTGGTTGCCATGGCAACGGAAAGAAAAAACTTTAAATATCTTGTTTTAAAAAACCTAAGCTAGAGCTTAGATATTTGGCATGAAACATCTTCAAGTGAGTGTCTACCTAGTTTGTTCAAATAAAATCCCTGGGGTCAAAATTGGCCCCGCCCCAGGGGGTCATTGATTTCCCCTATATGCATATAGTAATAACTTACAAAATCTTCTTTGAAAGAACTCAAAGAGTTAGAGCTAAGATATTCAGCATGAAACATCTTCTAATGGGTGTCTACCAAGTTTGTTCAAGTAAAAGCCCTGGGGTCAAAATTGGCCCCGCCCCGGGGGTCATTGATTTTCCTTATATGTGTATAGCAAAAACTTAAATAATCTTCTTTGAAAAAACCCAAATAGCTAGAGTTTAGATATTAAGCATGAAACATCTTCTAGTGAGTGTCTACAAAGTTTGTTCAAATAATAGCCCTGGGGTCAAAATTGGCCCCGCCCCAGGGGGTCATTGATTTTCCCTATATGCATATAGTAAAAACTTAAAAAAATCTTTTTTGAAAAAAACCCAAATAGCTAGAGTTTAGATATTAAGCATGAAACATCTTCTAGTAAATGTCTACAAAGTCTGTTCAAATAAAAGCCCTGGGGTCAAAACTGGCCCCGCCCCAGGGGTGTCATTGTTTTTAACTATATGTGTATAGTAAAAACTTAAAAAATCTTTTTTTAAAAAACCCAATGAGCTAGAGCTTAGATGTTTAGCATGAAATATCTTCTTATGGATGTCTACCAAGTTTGTTCAAATAAAAGCCCTTGGGTGAAAATTGGCCTTGGGGGGGGGGGGGGGGTTGGGTGAGGTCATTGTTGTTCATTACATGTGTGTAGTAAAAACCTAACATTGTGAAACATCTTCTAATGAGTGTCTTCCAAGTTTGTTCAAATAAAAGCCCTGGGGTTTAAACTGGCCACGCTCCGGGGGCCTATAAACAGGTGAGCGACCTCAGGGCCATCATGGCCCTCTTGTTATATTGATATAATTGCATCTAAAAAGATATTGATAATTTGAAGAGCTCTTACACTAAATGTGTGAACACTCATTTTAACATGATACATGACCTTGTCCCTGCTGAAATCAAAAAATGATGAGTCATTGCCACCAGTATAGAGCTATGTCACCTTCTACCTCTGTCTGGCCAGGCTGTATACTGTAGACTGACTCAGTAATCATCTTGGTATCCCCAAAATTGGTAATGGAATGTTACAAACATGAAAGCTGGTCAAGTTCATTTGAAAATTTCAGGGGCTATGGGTAGAGCATATATGAAAATACGTTACCAGTTTTTGTTTTCATTTTGATTGAAACATTTATCTTGTTTTTCATATATATGATTATGATGGGTTCGTTCAGGAATAATGTAAGAAGCCTGGAGAAGCAGAAGTTAATAGAACTTTGTGTTGCACTCAGTTTTAAATATGTTACTGTTAATCAAAATATTTTAGCTCAATATACTTGTACATGGAATTAGTTGTTTTATATGTAATTGAGAAGTATTTTTTTGTAAATATTTGATACCAGCAAGGTATTCATGTTTATGTTTAAGTTTTTTATACATTGAAGTCTTATTAAGAAGTTTTGGTATTTTACTTCAGCAACAAGATAACCTCATTATTTTGCACCTACGCAAAAAACAAAAGTGCATTTTATTTTGGAAGAAACACAGAACTTCCTAAAAATTTTAATAAATTGGTATATATTCTGGATTTATGCTTCCAAATATCCACTTTGCTTTTTTTTTTAAAACATGTATTATGTAAAAGAAAGTTAAATACTATTTTCTTGATAATTGAATTCCTGTTTAGCTTATTTAATTACTGACCAAAAAGAATAAATGGACCAAGTCTTTATTCCATGTTCAATTTTGCCTATTTCCAATAAGTTCCATGATGAATTTTGATGAGTTTAAACAGTAAACCTCCTACTTATTTTAATATTGATGTAACGTATATAACGTAGAATAGATACATGTACTTCTGCATATCGGCAAGACATGAAGTTGTGAAGATATTGCAGGCAGGGGAAGTTTCATTAGTTTTATATCATTGATAAGTTTTTTTATGTCGTTGATAAGTTTTTAATTACTTGAAAAAGATAGTCATTAGTGTAAATAGTACTTTTTGTTTCAGATATATTATTTTGTTTCCATAGTGGTATTAAAGTGTTTATGTTTGATATTGCCGTGTTACCTGTTAAAGTACATGTCTTAAGACTGTATTTTGTTCTGTTTTGAGTTTATGCTTTAGTGCTTTAACTATCATGTTTGTTATTTTCTATCAGTTTTATTGGTTTAATAATATTTTATTGCATATTTTGTACATGATTAATTCACACAATCTAACATCAATATCTTAAGCATGAATATAATGTACATACAAAAGGGTTGGACCAAAAGTTATACCAACATTATCTAGGGTCCTCCCCTGAAGGTCTATCTTGTTGGCTTAATGGTCACATAGTAAGTAAATGTGGTTTTTAGAAATTCTGAGATATTTGTTTATATGATAAGCGATATTAATTTCATGTATTTTAACTGGTAGAAAAGAATCGCTTAACCTGAAAACAAAGAAAATTACAAAATGACTTAATGAGGTAAAATGGAAAAAAAAAATATATGCCATTAACTATTTGCCACTATAATAAACGCACCAAACCTTGATTTGCAGCAGTATTTTAATAAATTTAATATGAAAATAAATATAGTATATGTGTAAACAAAATTAGTGTTAGAGTGTTATTATTACTATGCTCATTTGATCTCCAGTCCATCAAAATACATGGACTTAGTTTTTTCTTCAACTCAATTTAAAGGCACCCGTTATGTCACAAATCCATATTTTTTTTTAATTCTTTAGAAATGTCAAACATGTGTTTAGTCATGTTAAATAATTGATTTAGAGCAAGTTACATATTTAACAACTGAAGAAAGTAGCGCTGAATGTGCAGTTATGTGTCACAAAGGTAGCTAAATGTAAACAAAGTAGTATTTTGACTTTTGTACATAATAATAATTCACTATAAATATACAAGTTGCCAGAGCAAAAGAAACAGAAAATATTTCATAAATGTGGCTTATTTTGTATTTTTACAAAAGAAAAACAAAAAACTAAATGATACCAAAAATAAAATTTTTTGAGAAATAAAATTGATAGCATTTCTGTGGCAAAATTAGCTTTTACACTACAACCTAACATAGCTATGTAAGAATAGTCAATAGTTATAAGTACATTTGTATTTATGATAACCATTGTATTTGCACTTTTTCTGATAATGCATGTTAAATGGAAGAAATGACTTTTCTCTGATAATTTTATCTGATACACTTAAATTTGATACATTTTACTTTATTTTTATGTTCTTGTGAAACATGGCTTTGATATGTAGATTTAATAACTTTGGGCATTTCTTAAATTAATGATGAGAAAGAACATACCATGTTACATTTTAACATTTGATCATTTTTGTAACAGAATATATGAAATTTTGATGTTAACATTTATATAAAAAAATTCTAATTTCTACGTTTCTAGTCATTAATACTACTCAATTTAGATATTTATGCTTTATTCTTTTATAGTTAAATTTTAAACTAGATACATAGTATACTTGTAAAATAGTATACACGTTAAATTAAGACTTTAATGGATGATAGATTGGTATATAAAATGTTCAAGAAAATAGCCTGCTGGATGTTTGCTATTTATTTAGACAGTTCTTATTTTATATTTTTCCCTAAAACTGATCAATGGTTTTCTCCCGTTTGAAAAATGGACTAGTCCAATAAGATGTGTAGTATAGGTTAAGGAAACATTTTTTTCATAGATCGTTTTTCATGTTTTTTTTTAGTCCCCTACCGGTTTACCGGAGGGGACTTTAGGTTTACCCTCCGTCCGTCTGTCCGTCTGTCTGTCCGTCCGTCCGTCTGTCCGTCCGTCCACAAAACTGGATCCCGTGATAACGCAAAAAGATCTGAAAATATTTTAATGAAACTTGATATATGGATAGATGGCAGTATGGAGATTATGCACGTCTTTTTCTTTTCTTCCTATGTTGAAAATTCTGGTTGCTATGGCAACAAATAGACTGAAAATATGGCAAATTTTACACATAACCTGGATCCCGCGAGAACGCAAAAAGTACTGAAAATATTTTTATGAAATTTGATATATATGGATAGATGGCAGTATGGAGATTATGCACGTCTTTTTCTTTTCTTCCTATGTTGAAAAATTCTGGTTGCTATGGCAACAAATAGACTGAAAATAAGGCAAATTTTACACATAACCTGGATCCAGTGATAACACAAAAAGTACTGAAAATATGTTTATGAAACTTGACATATGGGTAGATGGCGGTATGGAAATTATGCACATCCTTTTCTTATCTTCCTATGTTGAAAATTCTGGTTGCTATGGCAACAAATAGTCTGAATTTCAAGATTTCTGATTCTAGTTTTTAAGTTTTTTCACTATAAGTTCTTTATTTCTTAAGGTATTTTCTTCAAACTTTAAATATAAGTTGCTTGTCATCAACCACATCATATGTGACAAAGTTTACAACTCTAGCACATAATTTATCAGAATTACCTCCCTTGAACTTAAAATTTTCATGAAAAAAACATTGTTTTTTTTTAATAACTTCTTTTTCTGAATGTATCTACTTCAAACTTCATATAAATGTTTCTTATTATCACTCAACATTAAATTTTGTGAGTGTCCAATACTCTAGCAAGACTATTTCCAGAATTATGCCCCTTTTGAACTTTTTTTTTGAGAAATTGGTAATTTTTACTCCAACTTCTTCAATCATGATAGGATTTTAAAAATGTTATATTTTGATAACAGGGATGTTTAAAAAATAACTTTATAGAGTGTCTTTCAGTCCGTCTGTCTGTACATAAAAACTGTTTCCTGTGATCACTTTTAAAGAACTTTTTCAACAAATTTACTTAAAATAGGAACCTAAGTGAATGGCCAATGGCCCTTCAGAATGTTGCTTGGGCTCTTACCGGTAGGGGACTTATGGATTGCTTGCAATACTATGATAATTGCTTGTTTTCATAGATCTTTTTTCATGTTTTATGTAAGCATGTTTTCAAATATCATTTCTAATACATGACTTTTTTCATTCATTTTATTTCAATATCAAGTTAGTAATACTCTAAATTTCACCTCAAATTTCCAGAGCAGATTTTTTTTGTATCCTGAAGTGTTGTTTTGACAAATTGTGCAATAGTTGTGTTCAGTTTCCTTCTTTTATTGTTTGTGGGTAAAGATATATGATGATATATAATTGAACTATGCAATCCTATTTGATAGGAATGTTTTAAAAGAAAATAAAAGTGAAAGCAGCATGAAGTTTTTGATACTTTTACTTCCTACTTTACTCTGTGATAATAGTAATATAGGTCCATGCTTTACTGTACTTTACTGGTCAAGAATGATGCCCATTGAGGCTATTTGTACACATACTTACAGTTGATTTACATAAATACTTGTATACCGGTATATGGAATGTGCTTTACAAAGATGGTATCGTTGAGATGGGTTTCGTAAGCACACTTATGCAGTAAAGAACTGATAATGCCAATTCAGTCCTATGCACAAACCCAAAATTTCCAGTATTCCCCCAAAATTTCCTATCATTGCCAGTGTTGAGCATTTAATTATAATTACACGGCTTGTCACAGTATCACTGATAGCAGCACCCTAGAATGTTTTATGATCCTATCATGTTTCAAGAATGTATAGTATTAGCTGGAGGATATAGAGAACATTTTAGATATAAGGAAAACTAAGATTTTCATAGATACATTCAATTTGAAATACATTGTAAGATAAAGACTAAAAAGACTGGATTACATTAAAAAGGATTTTAATCACTTACAACTCACAATCACAGGGAGGTACAGTGTTGGGATAGTTGGGATAGTGTAAAAATTAATTTTAAAAAACAAAAATATTATATAAGTTTTTTATTTCTGAAATTGCTTTTTACACTATCCCAAAACTGTGCCGAGTTCCTGTGCTCACAATATGAATACTATAATGTAAATTACTTTCATGGTAAATGTATATCATGCCTCAGACATTTATATTTTTTTAAGGAGCAAAATAATGTTTAGTGATAATAATGGGTTTAAAGCATTATTGATGCTTATCATTCAATTTGGTTGAAAAAAGAGCTCTGAAGTGAGAAAAAATGTTAAAAAGGTAGCAAAATGTAAACAAAGTAGTATTTTGACTTCCATACAAAATACTAAATCACTTTAACTATACCAATTGCAAAAGAGCAGAAAATAGTAAAAATTTGATGACCTTTAAGCTATTTTTAGGAAACCATAACTGGACACCAAAGTAACAAGATCTGCCAGAGGAGACAGTACAAGCCGAGCTGGACTAAATACTGGACAAAGTAACGGAAGTCAAACCTTTGAACAAAATACTCAAATAGCATAAGATATAGATATTTTTCTGCATCAGTAACGAGAAAACACTCAAATGTTGAATATTTTTGCACCTCATAGTAAAATTTGACCATGTCATTAAAAGTTAAACAGCCATTTCCATGCTCTAATGAAAAAGACAATAATTTGCAATTTGAAAACTATTCCTTCAGTGAAAGAAAATGATAAGAGCAAAATGTATGTAATTTTTAAGTAAAGTTGTAAGTTCAAAGAGAAAATATCTCTTGAAATAAAGATGCTAGAGTTATGAACCTTGTCATGCATGATGTAAGTAATGACAAAGAACAATTATTTTAAGTCAAGAGTAGATATCATTTACACAGAACGTGACAAATGCCCCTAAAGGATTCTAGTTATAAACCACCAATAACATGTTAAGTATGGTGGTAAAAATTGACAAAGTTCGAACCCCAGCAACGACCTTTAAGTTAGACAAAGAAACCTGTGTCTTCACGGTTCACAACACATTGTCCATCTATGGTGACTTTATATTTAAAAAGAAAATGAAACTTTCATGTATATGGAAGTTACAGAGCGGACACAACAACCACCATTTATATGTCTTAAGGGCAACACATCATACATTTATGATAATTTCATATGTGAAATAAAAAATATAATGCTTTCATGCATATTAGTTTCAGAGCATACACGACCATCTCTGCCTATATGTATATTAACATCAAGATTGACAATTGAAAGTTTGGACCGCCACAGTGACCTTGACCTTAGTCGTAGGAACCCGAGCCTTGTTCGCGACACACCATACATCTATGGTTATGTCATATATGAAAGAAAAAAAATATTTTCATGCATACTGAAGTTTCAGAGCGGACAGGACCACCACCTTTTATATTTATATAACATAAAAAATGACAAAGTTTGAACCCCAACAGTGACCTTGACCTTAGTCGTAGGAACCCGAGTCTTGTTCGTGAAACACCATACATCAATGGTTATCTCATATATGAAAGAAAAAGCAAAATCCTTTCATGCATACTAAAGTTTCAGAACGTACACGACCACCACTGTCTATATGTATGAAACCGGACAGACTGACGGTTCGATTTTAATATGCCACTCTTCGGGGGCATAATAAACATCTAAGTTCAAAGGGGAAATAATTCTGGAAATATTCATGCTAGAGTTATGAATATTGTCACACATGTATAAGGAACATATAATTTAAGTTAGAAGTAGATACCTTAAGAAATAAAGAAGTAAGTAAAAAGTCACATTTTTTTTAGGAAAAAAATGAGTTCATGGGGAAATATTCTTAAAAAATATTGGTGCTAAAGTGAACAACATTGTCACATATGATGTAGTTGTTGGTAAGGAACACATATTTGAAGTTTTAAGTCAATCCCTTATGATGAAATGAAGACGTAGAGTAAAAAATAACATTATTTTATGGAAAATTATATGTTCAAAGGGAAATTGTTCTGTAAATACTGGTTTTTGAGTTTAACACCTTATCATGATGATAAGGAATACATGTGTACATACAGATGTATAATGAAAATTAATGACCCTTCGGGGCGGGGCCAATTTTTACCACAGGTAACTTGATAGACACTCAGTATAAGATGTCTCATGCCAAATATCTAAGCTCTAGCTCTTTGGATTTTTTAAAAGAAGAGTTTACAAGTTCTGCATGGGATTTTATTCTTTAAACACCTTTGGTAGAGCTTTATGCAAGGTACACTCCTGCAAAGTTTTAACAAATTTGGCTATGTGGTTTAGGAGTAGAAGTTGTTTAAATAAATTTTTGTCTCACGGACATTGTCCTCAGATGAGCTAATAAAAAAAAAGTTAGTTAAAATATTTACTGCACATGGGCATTAATTTAAAGTATGTACGCTGGTGCCAACTTACAAACCGAGGTGAGTTGGACAGCTCTACATGTACTTTATAATAAAAATATCACTTACCTGGTCACTTAGTTAAGAGTCTTGCAATTTGCAGTAAAAAATTACAAACAATGTTTTTTTTGGCTTTTGTTTTTAGCGTTTTTTTCTTTTTTCTTTTTTTCTTTTTTTTTTTTGGGGGGGGTGGGGGGGCATGAGTGACAATGACACTTAACTATGAGAGTTTATTAATCAAGGAGATGATTATCACTTATAAAGGTTTATCCCAACATATAATTCATTCAGTAGCTAAAATTTATCTTGTGATATTAAGTATATTTACAAATAATTCAAATAATTGCTAAGTTTCACAATTCACTTCCAAGGGCCGCAGACCCAGAGAAAAAAACATCAGAAATTTGATCCTTCAACGTTAGGGCCATTAGATAAGAACACAGAGGACCAATTAATGATGACAAGACTCTCAACTCATTGGACGTGTTAATGGGAGATATACAGTTAGTAGTGATTTACTAGCTGATAAGCCCTTACTGAGATTCAGCAGGCTGGAAGGGTTTATGCGTAGGACTGAATTGAAACTGATAACTGCCACATATCTGGTCTAATGGGGTGGCTTATATAAATCTATCCTTCAATGTATGATGATGTCAGATACCATATAAAATGATTTGCATCATAGATAAATTGTATACCTAACATTTTCAATGAGTCATTTAAAATATATCAAATTCAGTTCTTGTTCTTGTCAGCTAGAAGACAAAATTGACAGGACAGATGTCCGTGGTAACTACCCATACCCAGGTTAACTTTGAAAAGTAAATTCCAGGACTATAAAATCACAGTCTGGGCCTCTTCAGCACATTGAAGCTCTAACAGTTATCTTCTTTAAGTTAATAAAAGTTTCCAATTGACATTGAAAATCATTTTATGACTTGTATTCCAATTGAAATGAAAAGATATAAAGTCTATTTTAGAAAAAAGTTAATCCTTTCTTTATCTATAGGGAATCTTTTGAATTTATGTCATGGAGTTGGCAAACTGAAATTTGAACAGTCTATTCAAAGATTAAAAGAATTCTAATATCAAAATTATAGAGCCTGGTTGTTCTGCACAGATGTCTCTTCACTTTTGGTTCCAGCAGGTAAAAGTATAACAATATGATTTGCAAAATTAAGTTGAGGGAAAGACAAGAACCAGCGTTTGTTTTGATCTGAAGGACCATTTTCTTTGTGGTAATTTCTTAATCTTAGTGGTAATTTGTTCATCTTTTCGGTTGTTCTTGAAGTTTCAATGTATCTGCTTACAACATATACAAAATATACTATATCATGTTCACGTTAAAATTGATAAAAATAAATAAATAAGTTATTATAAGACTATATGACATTATCATTTGTTTAAAGAGATCTTCAAAATGCAGTTTATTTCAATCAATTTGTGGGGTGGAAAACGATTTAATTTTGTGACGTTCTAAGCTGCAGATCATATGACAACAACAACAAAATGTCTTGACAGATAGAAAGAAAACATTAAAACGAACAGAAAGTCACCTCCTCCCTCTTTTAAACTTAAAAGTGTTCTGATCTTTGTTGGAACATTGACATCTGCAACCATGGCTGGCGATATCAATGAGATTGGCACCCAATTTTCAAAGAGTGTAAGGAAATTTTATCGTTTTATCTTCGTTAAATAATTTTTATTTAGTTCTAATTCATACTGCTTAAAAATCGTTTACGATCATTCTAAGCAGGTATACATTGTATACATTTTTAAGAGACAGCTATGAGATACAAGGGAATCCGGGAACTAGTCCCTAGCTCTTATTGAATAGACCCCTTGGTTCTTTAACATGCCCAGTGTATCAGGTGGGAAAAGAGTCAACTCGGCCCTATACCAACTCGCCTTACTTGGCAGGGGTCAACTCGGCACGGGTCAATTGGCCCTATTTACAAAAATATATATAACATATGAACTTTGCTTTGCATGTTGTTAAGGTAAATGAATAATGAGAAATATCTTATTATTATATAATTATACTTCTGCCGAAATAAGTACATCTAGATTTTTTTTATTTATTTGTCTTGCAGATTCGATAAAATTAATATAGATCGATCTAATAAAAATGTGTTTCCTTAGAGGCATTTTGTTTGTAAAGTAATATTCAAAAAGATATGAAACAAAAACGTGTTTACTTCATATCATAAGCTTCTAATTAATTGCAGGTGGTCACTAATCTAATGAATGAATGAGTCAATCATAATTATCACCTAATTAATCAGTATCCTTAACATACACACTGATTGATAATAATAGCCCGTAACAATATATATTTCAACACATTGTTTGACACTGAAGGTATTTAAGTCAGAAATACAGTGAGATACGCAATCGGTTATCTATACCCGCTATTCTACTGACTGCTGCTAATTCGGAAACTGTCAATAGGTGTATCATAAATATTTACAATAAATAGTGATAACACAAACCTAAATATTAATAATTGAAAAGTGGGCCGAGTTGACCCGTGCCGAGTTGGAATAGGGCCGAGCAGCCCGAGCTGACTTGGGGGCTGAGTACGTTTTAGGGCCGAGCTGACCCGGATTCTATCAGGTGTATAGCACTGATACATGCGAGGATGACCTGGATTTCTTGCAATACACCACTAGGTAGGTGGAACACTAAAAGTGTCTCTGAAAAATCCTAATGTTATTACCCAGGATCGAACCCGGGACCTCAGGAGTGATAATCAGTGGTCTACCCAAGTGAGATATAGCGCCATCACAATTCACGTTTACATGCTAACGAAGTCCTTCATTGAAAGACATGGCATTTTCTTTTTTTTAACATTTTGACGCTTATATCGGAAAGCGGATTTGACCCATGTATAAAATAGCTTCAAATCTGCGGTTACGTCTAAATATTTGGACTACATGCTAACCCAGTGATTTCAGGAGTTTTTATCGGCAAATTTTCATTTTCTCATTTTCAGTTGAACTTATACACATGTTATCTGTTATCTAAGAGCCTTTGAAGTCATTGTCCCTAAATTTGGCTTTCCACATTTTTGTGTTGCCTATACAGAGTAGTGGAGACATAAAGGGATCATTTTTCCATTGTCTGTCAGTTCGTCCATCAGAAAACTTGTCCAGACTACTCCTCAAAAACTACTGGTGCAATTTCATCCGTGATGATTTTTGAGTTTATTTTTACTGGGCACTGGCTATCTCAAGCTGTCTGTCATCATAGAGGGCTTCTCCCCAGGCCAGGACCAGATTCTTCGCATCATTGAACACAGAAAGACAATAGAAGAAAGGCACCTTTTCTGGGAGACAGCAGCATCTTTTGAGAGGCACACCCTTCCCAGTTAGTTAGGTCATACCAGCAAAGTGACCAAATAGGTCACCAGTCTGTAGTTCTGGCTTCCATGACATTACATGTCGCTTTTATTTTGACGTTGTGCGACAGTAAAGTTATGGGTCAACCCTTTTTGCAAAGGCTACCGGAATTTTGACAGTTTGTGTGCCATACCTAAAGACCTATTAAAATCACCCTTATTAATCAAATTTGGGTCAAATAAGAATACCATTTCACAAACAAATCAATTTGAATCAATTCATGTTTTGTTTTTAAATGAAACTTCAATGACATTGTGTACCCAACTATTTGTTAGGGTAATATGTAGAGAATGTTTACCACTATAGATGAAGTCTGCTTTCAAATGAAATCTCGTTGGACTTCAAGTTTTGGGAATTCTAGCATCTGTTTTTAGTAACAGACCATACACTATTTTTAGTAAGTATATGATTTTAAATAAAAACAAACAAATAATTCATGAATCATCACTCAAATCAATATAAATCCAACATGTTTTAGGTACAATGTCTGTTATTGAATCAATACGCCATTATTCATAATTGCAAAGCCATGTTTTGAATTAAAAATAGCATTTGGGTCACGGGTCACCAAATGACATGCAAATGTATCCGAACCTTAATTCTCGCTAGTCAAGTGATAATTAGGGCAGCAATGACGGCAAATTTTATGAAATGTGAACCCAATCTTACGTTCTGTGTTCAAAAATATAGACTGAAATGTCCCAAGTATATCTAACTACCTGTATTAAAATAGCTTTTGTCTAGATCATGCAAATTAATTGAATTACAGCATGACATAAATATGTCTCGGTACTGGTTGACTTTTGATACGGGATTGGCTTCAGCGAACAGGTCAAGCAGTACTATAAAACCAATGTTCAGAAAATGTGTAGTTCACATTGTAAGAGTCTTGTCTCACTGCATGGAATAAAGAACCTTCAAGTTTTATTTGTGGTTGATCTTGAAAATATCAGTGTGTAAAACCACCAATTGACCATCAAGTAGCTATATTGTAGTTTCTATGTTGTGAAAGAATTCAAAGTCCCTGATGACATTTTAATCGGCAAATGATATATGTCAGCAAGTCACACTATACTCTGTCATGGAGGTCCCTTTTAACAAGTATTACAATTTTTGTTCTTCTTGTAATAAGTCAATGGAATGGATATTAGAATTTCTACATGTACATGATGTATATTGTATATTCTAACATGCCTACATACTTCGTGGTCAATTCATACACATCAAAACTCCAAACTGGTGTTAAATAGCATATAAACACATCTCAGGCTGATGTTATTTCTTAAATGTACACTCTGTCCTATATTATGTTCTTTTATATGTTTACAGGTTGGGTTGATATACATTTTCAACTTGATTGTTGGTACCGGAGCTCTTACAATGCCCAGAGCTTTTGAACAGGCTGGATGGGTTCTAAGCTTGGTCATAATTATTGTTCTATCTTTCATGAGGTAAACAATAGTACATGTATCTTTATAATATATATATTTTGTAACCATATCTTCATGATTGAGTTCAAAAGAATTGTTTCTAAATTCAAAATTTCACCATTTTTCATGTTTAAATGTTGAATTCTGCTTAAGCTGGTGATAGGGGGCATGGACAGTTTGATATTGTATAAACCAATATTTACTTTTTTCTTATCAGTCTATTGGCTTTATTTGAAATAATGTAACTATAACATTTTGACTTTTCTTATTGTTTAATCTTGTATGTAAGTGGCTATGATATTGTCAAATTCTGTATCCTACAATTACATCATCATGAAGTTATTGTTCTTTGGACATCAGTTTTGTACATATTTTATATTTTAAGAGTTACATCCGTTCATGTACTATTGAAGATTGTTTAATTATCTACTGAAGAAGTTAAGAGCTCATTATAAGGACAGTATTCAAGAACAATACCACTTGATATCTCTTAAGTATGTTGATAATGTTGGCCATGTACAATTTGTTCATGTGATATATCTAAGTGTTGAAGTGGCACTAATCATTCTTTACCACTTAGTTATGCATTAAACAGTCATGATTCATAAGCATTGTATATTTGTAACTTGACATGAATCATACTCTTAAAAAATACAATCATAAATATTTTGCTGATTTTGCTAAATTTTTTGTATATCTCATCAACTTTTATTTTACAGTTTTATGACAGTAACATTTGTAACTGAAGCTATGGGTATAGCTAATGCTTTACTGAAGAAACACAACACACACAGAACTGTAGTAAGTAGAGCTGACATCAATAGAGACGATATAGATGTATCGTTGATATCATGTTGATCATTGATATTTTTCTGTTGATCAATAATCAATACACATTTGAAAAAATCATTTTTTTGGATAAATTATTCACTAAGAACATATACAAGAGCAGGTGGCCTTGTCAAACACTAATCTGTTGTTACATAATGGACACATTTCATAGCACTGATGACAAAATATGGTTGTAAAAAAAATCATGCAAAGGTCATTAAGAAATGAAACACAACATATTTGCATGAACTAAACATTAATTTACTAAAATCATTTAAACAGCTATGAAAAAGTTTTATATTCAAGAAATTAGGAGTATGTATCAATATCTCGCCGATATTTGTCATTCGATATCGGTTTATTGTCAATATTCTTTGCACTGAATCAATGACAGCACTAAATATAAGATTACTTTTTGTTTTTCTGTACAAAATGTACTTTGTGATTTCATTAAGCAAATCATGCCAATCAGGAAGTTTTCATACAATTTAACAACTCTTGTATGCTGGTGAATGTGGATCATGTAGAAACATGGCATAGTCATAAAAAGCTTAACATACATGTATATACTGTGTATGCGGAAATTTCTGTGTGTCGAAAAGTTAAAATTCCAGACATTTTCCTTTAGGAAATATAAGCAAGTTCCCTTTCTGCATCAGTCTAGTATTTAAGGAGAATTTTGTCTTACCTATTAAGGGTATTATTGTAACAGGAATGATCCCCTTTAGGTATGATTTAAATGATAACATTGGCAACAAACATTTAGCGATACATAATCAGTTTGAGTTAAGCACAACTCGCAATGGATTTCAGTCAAACTTTGACAGAATGATTGCAATCGGGGGCACTGGCTCATATTGTTAAGATTTTTGTGTTACATGATGTATATGATTATTTCTAGCAGAATTATGGCTGTTTGTTTGTTAGTTGTTTTTTTTCACATGTAAATTATAATATTTGGAAATTGCAAGAAGAGCTGGTTTGTGACAATTCTTTTCATTTCTTTTGACAATAGTTGTTATCCGGAACTCGGCAAATATGGGTTTTTCCAAGCTAATCCCTTGGTACAAACAAATTTTTACCTGTTGCTTTTATTTTCGAAGCTGTAACTGTAAAAGTTTGAATTGTATCCCTGGATTAGCTTGGAAAACCTGAAAAATTCTTAATTCCTGAGTAAGTGTATTGTGTTGTCTAACACTTTTAATTTATATGCTACAACTGATTCAAGTGAGAAGTATCAAGAAAGTGACTGTAATTTGCAGATATACAACAAAGGTACTGTACTGGTTTATAATCCAGGAAGTCTCTGAAGTAACAACCAGTTGATATATAACTGAAATATTGCTAAAATAGCATACATTATCATATTTGATGTATTAGGTGGTTTGATGAAAAAACAACTTTGAGTGGTAACTAATGATCTTTTAACTACTAAAATGAATTGTAAAAATGTAGTATTCAATAAAGTCTATCCATATAATAATTTATCAAGTTAGTATATATTTTATCAGAGTGTAAATGCTGGTGCTGAAGATGATGACGAAGTTGAACCATTGCTGGCTAATGGAAGACATGTTAATGGTGAGATATATAATTACAACAAATGTGCATTACATGTACTACCATATGATGTCCTTAATTTATCTACTCCGAATAATGATTGTGTTAATTAGATATGTTACTTAGATAGTTTAATTACAGCTGAAGTAAGAAAGCATGCTGTCAAACCAATGATCTGTTTTAATATACAGGCATGATTTAATATGCAAAAGTTTAATTTCCCCTCATTTTGATCATGTGAGAACGGCTAATATATTTAGGCTGTATTTTAATTGAATTATCTCTCTTAGTTGATTTAAAAATTCCCTGCATTCCTGTTGTTATACGGTCAATATAATACATATACCAGTAGTATTTTTGTTAGCCTCATGTATTTCATGATAGATTATTAAAATTAATAGAGCATTTGTTTGGTAAATTTTTGAACTTCTGCTGTAATTATTTTTTTGTACTAAATTTTGTTCTAGTTTTCAGGTTTTAGAAGTCAATTAATGCTGTACATTAAACTACTAGGTCTTGTATTAATAATTGGTGGATGCTTTTATAGATAACAATTTAATTATTGATCTAGTTTCTTGTCATATTTCAGGTATAGAGAAAATATGATGTGACAGTGTATTCATCTTACAGTCTTCGTTTTAACTAATACAAATGAGCCGCATCACGACAAAACCAACATAGTGCGTTTGCAACCAGCATGGATCCAGATCAGGCTGTGCATCTGTGCAGTCTGATCAGGATACATGCTGTTCGCTATCAGTTTCTCTACTTGTAATAGAGTTGGTAAGCGAAAAGCATGGATCCTGATCAGACTGCCCGGATGCGCAGGCTGGTCTGGATCCATGCTGGTCGCAAACCCATTATGTTGGTTTTGTCATTATAGGCGCGGCTCAAATGTACATATCACCACAGAGACAAACCATATCATATCATAGATATCATTGACATAGTAATGTATCAAGTATAAGTAATTGCATGTTTAACCATTACAGCCTACAGAGGAATCACGTTTAATTGGTAAACTATAAAATAGTGTGGTGGCACATTATTGCTATGTTACCTTGGAAATCAGCAAATAATTTTTTATTTTAAAATGTAAAAAGGAAAAAGAAATTGTTCAGCATTAATCAAAATTTAATTTTAGGTTCTTGTATTTATATATAATTATGCATTCAGAGATATTAAGATAAATTTGAAAATTTGATCTGGTCTCTTTATTGTAACATTACGACTTATATGCTTCAAAACGAGTTTTAATTAGTTTTGGCATTGTTTGAATCTGGATTGTTTTTGGCTGAAGAAATGATTGTAATATTTGTTGAATTTCAAACACATAGCAATTCAAGGTTTGCTAGACAAGTATTTGATAGAAATTTGTTATACAATAGTTCTGAAATCAATAGATTTTCTTAGTGCTAGAATTTCTGTCTTTTATTTTCTAATTTTCTCAAACTATCAGTAATAACTACAGTCAAACTTGTGAATAAAGGTCATCCATAGAATAGATCATACATGGTCCTTAAAAAAAAAGTGGTCTTTATTCGGAGTGTATTCAGTTGTATTTTTATCAATGAAGGTTCTTCAAAGAGTGGTCTTTAAGTACAGGGTGGTCTTTATTTGAAGGTGGTCTTTAACACAAGTTAATACACTTTATTCAAAAGTTGAATCAATGTGAACTTTATTCAAAAGTTGAATCAATGTCAACAGAATCTCAAGTTTGAATAAGCATACTTGTACATAATACATGTTTCTATTTTATTGTATATGTTTCTTATCACTATACATGTAATTGTCTTGTGCTGAGGTAATGAAGTTTATACTCAGGGTCAGAAATTAATTTCAATATAAATATGATAGTTGATCATTTCACTGAAAGAGGTTGTTGAATAGATCTTGCAAACTTGGTTGCAATTTCATGAAAATCATGATTTCATATAAGATTGATTGCAAGGTAGAGAATATCTGAATAAGTCTGATGCTATTTCTTTAATCTTGTTCCATTTTTGAAATATTTTATCTTTCATACACCTTTCCCCTTTTATGTTCTTTTAAAATGTCATTCTGTAACTTATTGATTTTTCATCACATGAAATCACTTGTTTTCAGTGTGTTATCACTATTAATTTATTATATTTATTAATAAATATTACATAGTATTACATTTAAGATCGTGTTCTATTTATAATTATCAGCACTTCAGTAATTTCCAGTTTAATGATATTGAGTGATAAAAAGAATTTTACAACAGTTGTCTTTTCATATAGTTTTAATATAAAACTTATTCCTGAAATGTTATAGAGCTTGCCACAGAACCTTTATTGTAATTCTTTCCTAGAATTGTTCCAACAGATTGTACCCATGCAACCAGTGCAGACCAAGATCTGCAGCTTTCTGATCACAGTCTGCATTGTTTGATATACAGTCAGTATATATGTTTTGAAATTTTCCCTAAAAAAGTACATGTTTTGAAATTTTCCCTAAAAAAAGTGTTTTTTTTTACAAGTCCATTTTAGGTAAGGGTTAATTTCTGTCTACTGGTATATATCACAAGTGTGAGTGGAACAGTGGTTAAGGTCATTGAGTTCAATCACTTGCCCCTCACCGGTGTGGGTTTGAATCCCACCAGGGACTTTGGTTTCTTCATGTGAGGAAGCTATCAAGGTAGCTAATGGAACGTTGGTGGTTCTACTGAGGTGCGGGGCTTTTTGTACCTGAAATAGTGTTCAGACGAGCATCTGAGGTCGTCCTCCACCAGTAAAGCTGGGAAGTCCTTATATGACCTATACTGTGTTGGTGTGACATAAAACCCTACAAATCTATCTTACTATATATGAAATGATAACTCAAGTAAAGTTTATTTAAATGTTACTATAGTTACATTAATTTCATCATTAATTCATATTATACAGTTATACAGTATTGATCAAGTAGCTAAGATTGTAAGATCACATATTGTAACTTTAATAACTTGAACACTTACTTTTAATGATATGAAAGAAGTTTGTGAAATTATTCCTGAAATAGCATTAAATTGGTTTCAGATTCATGCATGGCAGGAATTATCGTGCTATAATGATATCATTTATAAAATAATTTACATGTCCTATGTGGGATATAGCCGGAATTATAGTGCTATTAAATAATAATTATTAATGATATTTATTACAAAATTATTTACATGTCTTTATAATTTGCATATTTAACCATTCAATTTCAGTGCCTACATTCAGAATGGCTTTAACTTTTAACTTTAAAAGTATTTTAACTGGAAAACAATTTATATTTATTATTTATACTACACATACATTTCATTGAAAGTAATATATACTTATTTTTACTCACAGAGCCTGACATTTAGGATATTTAATTACTTTTAAGAAGGTTAACAAATTCTTTTGAAGCCAAATAAATTTTAATGGTATAATATTTGCTTTAATTTGTATCAATTTTGATAGACCATTGTGTCTTATAAATATAATGGATATTTAAGTATCTTTTTGATTGGTTGACCCCAGTTTGATTCTGTGATGGTGCTGATTACTTTTGTTCTAATTGATCATGAAATTCTTTCTACAGTCATTCATACTATATCTCTGATTTGGCATGTACAGAAATATTAGCAGTACCTTGCGAAAGTGAAGGCATCTAGTACTGGTAAACTGCTTGACAGCCTGTCCAGGAATGATGTGGTAGCTGGACCTGGTGCATCAGTGGATTTAAGGTGGCTAACTGTTGTGATCTGGAGAGTAAATAAAAACACACAAAAAAATCACCACCTCCATTAATCAGTAAATCTGGATAGTGAGGATAAAATGTGATATTGTTGGTGTTCCTTTAAAAGAAATGAATAACTAGAATCATGTTTTAATACTTTTCAGAAGAACCTCCAGATGCCAACCCATTTGAAATATCCATGAGAACAGAGCTGGTAAGTTCTTGAATTTCTCGAATTCTCTGTATTGAATATTATTTTGTATCAAGGAAAAAACACAAAATAAATGCGTAAGATTTAACAAAAAGTAATTGTAGATCAATTACATAGAGGATATTTGTTTGTTTCAGCGTAAGATCGAAAAATATTTCACCGAGTGAACACCAGATGCAATATTTTCCACGAGTGGCGTAGCCACGAGTGAAAATATAATAGCTGGGGTTCACGAGTGAAATATTATTTGATCTTACATGTAAAACAAACAAATTTTCTGTTTATTTCATGATTTTTTAACGATTTTTACACCATTTTACTGATTTTTGCCGCGTAACGTCATGCTCTTATCTTCATGACGTCATCAAATAATGACGTCACAATGTTGAAGCAAAATATAATTCCATGATTATTTTTAGATATTAGATGTTTTTCAGCACAACGTTCGTAGATATTTACGAACTACAGTTATCACGTACATTTTTTATTATGATTGACATCATTTCCGCTGAAAAAAACATTCATTAATGATAAATATTTTATTTTTACGCCAAATATAGTTCGGCTACTGTGAAATTATATTTGGTAATCATTACTGTGAAATTATCGGAATATAATTAACCGTTATAATTCAGTAATCTACTGCAAAACATGTAATAAATATTTACAATATGGTTTTTCACTGATAAAATAATTGTTTTATCAAACAATTCTTGTTACACTTGTATGAATCTTGTTATATTATCAAGCACAGAGCACAGATATGTGTATTGTACATTTGACAGCTGTTTTGATAAATTACCCTGATGATATTACTTAAGTCTTGGTTTTATTTTACAGGGTCACATGGCTGGGCTGTTTTTCAATAAAAGTAAGTCATTTAAAGACATTTTTTGTACTGATACTTCAAATTATAAACACCAATGTTCTTTTTGAGTTATTTGCCCCTGAAAGTGAGTTATTTCCTCTTTTTGATTATTTTCAAGAGCAGATAACCCAAAACTGTGACAAGCAGGACCTCATTTGATTTCAAATTTGTGTTTGTTACTTTTCCCCTGCCATGGTGACAGTGTACAAGTGAGCATCCTGCACTTTTCTTCAAAAGGAGGCATAACATAAAGAAATTCACTTAAGCATAGATTAAATCTGTTGCAAGGTTAGGGTTTCAGATTTTTATCAAAAGATAATGCTTATTAATAAGTGAATTTCTTAATGAATTTGCTTCTTATTGAAGCAAAATATAATATCTTTTAGATAAAATTGTATTTCACTTTGCATAATATTAACAAAAATTATTTGAAATTAACAAGGTAAGCTTGATTTTGAGTTATCTGCTCTTGGAAATAACTTTAAGAGCAGAACATAAATGCTGGTGATTCTCTTCAATTATTTTCTGTTCTTGTTTAAATTTTTTTTTTTGCCTATGTGAAAATTTCCAGTACTCCTTGAAACATTTGTAAAGCTATTTTAGCCGCGTCACGACAAAACCAACATAATGGGTTTGCGACCAGCATGGATCCAGATCAGCCTGCGCATCCCCGCAGTCTGATCAGGATCCATGCTGTTCGCTTACCAACCCTATTACAAGTAGGGAAACTGATAGCGAACAGCATGGATCCTGATCAGACTGCGTGGATGCGCAGGCTGGTCTGGATCCATGCTGGTCACAAACGCACTATGTTGGTTTTGTCTTGATGCGGCTCATTTCATGTTTACCAAACTGATTTTATTTGTTTATAGTGTAGAAAAGTTATCTCCTAAGTCAAGACACTTCTTTCTAATCAGTTTCTAATGTATCAAATGACTTATTAAAAATTTAATGGAAATATATTCTATATTATTTAGAATATTATATGAAGAATACTGACTTTAATATTTGTTAAGAAGAGCAAGGTGATTTTACACTTATTGCAGGGAATATAAATAGAATAGAAATGATTGTGTGCAGGCTTCATGTTTCTGTAAAATTGTACTACATTCTGTATTACATTATATCAGAAAACTAAACTGTTAAATATTGGTATATTTTGAATATTTTCAGTTGGGTTGTTTGTATTTAATGTGACTATAGTCATCTATTTGTATGGAGATTTGTCTATATATGCTGCAGCAGTGCCAAAATCTATCAGGGATATTTCATGGTATGTATGAACAATTGTTCTACTAACTTACTAAGACACTACTGTAAAAGATTGTATGCCAGTTTCTCTAGTATGCACCACACAGAGCTATTCTATTCTAAAATTTACTTCTTTAAAATTTATTATAAACATGCAAATATTTTGGCATCACATCAAATCATTATGTGAACAACTACAATGCCCAGAGCTTATACTAGTATATTTGAAATGTAGTATTGCCTAGCAAACCTGTTCAAATGTTTTATTAACCATGCATATTGTATCAAAAATGCCTCCACCCTGGAAGTCATTGAGTATTTTGACATAAGTAAGTAAAACCAACCAACCAAACATATTTTATGTCTAAAACAAAGTGACATACAGACATACATTTCTCTGCCTTTGTGGTGCTATAATAGACTGAGGAAATTTATTTGAGTTTAAAATAATTTTATGACTGTAGTCTGTATATATAACTTTGAAATTTTCATTTATATCAAACATAATTTATCAATTTCTATATCAAATGTATTGAAATAATCAGGGTATTAAGGGATGTTACACCAAAATCTGTTGTGGCGGGAGTTGGATACAACTATTTCCCTGCCCTTATATCACCAGATTCAGAGACATTGATTTAGAGTAGTTATTTGTTGAATTTCAATGTTATAAAGTTATAAGAACCTTATTCTAACTAATATCATGTGTAATCAGTAGGGATTATTAGAATTTATTGTACTATGCACTGATTTATATTATTTCTGCTAGCCAGAAGGTTATGTCTTGTATAGTATTTGAAAGCAAGACTGATGACTACAGAGTCCTGTTTCATTATTATAACCCCATCCCCCCACACCCTTCTATCACAACAAATGTTGTGAGGGATTATACTAGTTTGAGGCTGTATGTTTGTCTATCTGTCCACTAGGCTGGAAATCTTGTTGTCTGTGTGTGCTACACAGTCAATATTTAACTCTACTTGCACTTATCATAAGAAATTTAACCTTTCACCATGAAAGGCTGTGACCTTCAAAGACTGTGACCTTCAAAGTTAATTTTGTGAATTTTGCTGAAATTGGCTATAAATGGCTTTGACTTTGTGACTTATAAATGTATTCTATTCATAGTTCGGAATATCAACTCATTTAACAATACAGTACCTTAAAAGGAAAACAAATCTTTAATTGATGCACCTTTTTTGCTCTTTTGAACAAGTTGATATAAATAGATTGGTTTATACTATCATTTTTTAAACAAAATGGGCTATCTGGAAATACAGCAATCATTGTAAGCGCAAAAACATCATTCAACAAAATAGTTATTATTGATTTGAAATGTCAGATGGGATAATACTGTAAGTAGGGTTAGGGTTATTTATATCTAATAAAAGGGATGTAACTCAAACATGATTATCATATTATGTTAAGATGAGTTATTGCACTTTTTAACCGACAAGTAAATGATATCGAAGCGCAAAAAAAAACTTTTAAAACATATAGAATGGAATCAGATTTTCTTTTACATTTTTAGCTCGACTATACGAAGTATATGGAGAGCTGTCCTACTCGCCCCGGCGTCGGCGTCCACATCCAGATTTAAGATAAAAGTTTTGGTGCAGTAAAATATTTTTCACTATAACTTTGTCATTTCTTAAGGTCTCAACTTCAAACTTCAAATATATGTTCCTTATCATCAACCACATCTTATGTGACAAGGTTCATAACTCTAGCACCAATATTTTCAGATTTATCTCCCCTTGAACTTAGAATTTTCCTTAAAAAAATACTATTTTTTACTGTTACTTCTTTATTTCTTAAGGGATCAACCTCATACTTCAAATATATGTACCTTATCATCATCCCCATCTTATGTGACAAGGTTCTTAACTCTAGCACCAATATTTTCAGATTTATCTCCCCTTTAACTTAGAATTTTCCATAAAAAATATTATTTTTTACTGTAACTTATTTATTTCTAAAGGGATTCAAATATATTTACGTTATCATCATCCACATCTTATGTGACAAGGTTCATAACTCTAGCACCAATATTGCAAGAATTATCTCACCATAAACTTAGATTATTTTACTAGAAAAATGTTATTTTTTATTATAACTTTTTTATTTTTAAAGGTATCTACCTCAAACTTCAAATACTTATTCCTTATCATCAATTACATTTTATGTGACAATGTTCATAACTCTTGAAGCAATATTTACAGATTTATCTCTCTTTGAACTTAGGATTTTCTTTAAGAAATATAATAACTTCTTTACTTTTTAAGGTATCTACTTCAAACTTCAAATATATATTTCTTATCATTACACAAATGTGTGACAAGGTCCATAACTGTAGCATGACTATTTCTAGAATTATTCCCCTTGATCTTGGAATTAATGTTAACAAATGTTATTTTTTTACTATAACTTAATACATAATTATACATAATTGAATTTTCTTTCATAGTTTTGTCCTCCTTACTGCGTCCAGTATTTTATTAGTCGAGCTTCGCTGCCTCCTGTGACAGCTCTTGTTAGATAATTTCTCACAATATACAGTATTTATTGATTACTAATGTCCAAAAATATCAATGTTTCTTAGATGTCATTACTCTAAAATAGCATTTGCTAATGCAAACAACGCTTTGCTCAAAATAAGATATACATAAAATTATTATATATATTAAGAAATGTCATGTTTTTGTTATTGTTCTTTTCTCTTATGTTCACTTTCAAAACGTAACAATACGGTATAATATTTCAGTGTTTTTAAACATAGTTTAAACTTTCTGTCCCTATTTTTATAAAAACAATGATAACAACAATTGATAAAAATTTAAACAACCAAATGCAAGCAGATAATTGAGTATCATTCTATCATATCTTGTTATCTTTGTTGTCGACAATAATATAATACATTATACATACCAGTAAATATATCATTGAGATAAAATCTTACCAATCAGATTTAACCAGGATGATAAAATAGACGTACGGATATCATTTTAAGCAAAGAAAAGTAAAACCACGGGCACACATGGCAACGGGAAATATTATGGATATTGCGGGCAGAAGTTTGAGAGAAAACCTTAATTGCCCAATTTGCCTTGATACTTTAAAATCACCAAAGAGCTTGTCGTGCATCCATACTTTCTGTGAGGAATGTATTCAGTTGATCATACAAAATGAGGATACACCTGGGAGACAACGCAAAATAGTGTGTCCAGAATGTAGGCAAAGCACGACTCCACCAAGAAATGTTGTTAGGACAGAGTGGGCCAAACATTTGCCGACAAACTGGCCATTGATGCGCTTAATTGAAAGAATTGATAGAATTCCAACACCTGGTTTTTCCAATGACCTCACAGAAACTGATGATGAAGTTGACGGACAACTTTCTATTAATCCGCAAGATCTGGAAGAATGCAATCAGATAGAACTATGTCAGATGCATCCTGGAGAAAAAATGTCTTTCTATTGTCACGAACACTCAGCAATTCTCTGTGAAGAATGTAAAAATACAGTTCATCGTTGGGGTTGTAACGTAGTGACAGTCACCTCACAGGCATCAGATGAAGCCATTACTGAAAAGGTTAGTGACATAGAACAACAATTTCTAGACATAAATAACAAGCTTGATGAGACAGAGAGAGCTATGGTTAACGATATTACAGTTGTAAGAGAGAAGATAAGTGACTTTAAAAGCCGTATGATGACGATCAGAGGTGAGCTTGACCAGCTACTCAACGAAATGCAGCAGACGCTGACGAGTGATAAATTTTGCGACGAAAACCTGGAGACATATTCAAAGTGTCAAGAAAGCAAGATAATTGAATGTCATAGTTTGAAGGAAGCAATGAAGTTTAGCAAGTCAGAAATGGAAACGATTATGAAATATGGAAAACCTGAGCAGCGTTTTATAGCTGCCGAGCAGTTGCTACGGTTAATGCCGATGTTTGTAAAGGCAGCAGACGACAATGAGAAATCTGCAATGCGCGTTGAATTAAGACACGAAGGCATTGAAATCTTACATAGTGTAATGCGTATGAGAAAATACATGAATAATATGGAAGGTCATCACGTGAAATTAGAAAATTGAAATATGCTGTGTTGTGCCTGTCACCTGACATGAGGATAAAATAGCTTAACAGTAATTATATAATATGCCTATAAAAACTAATGATGGTCACTTTTTATGCTTTATAATAGTTGAGATTTGACAGATTTCATAACAAGGAGAGAAAAAGCTACTTTAAAGCTTGATAATGATGAAGAAAGCTATTATAAGTTAACGGTGTCTTGTCATATATTTGTTGCTTGATTATTACATTAGAATGTGAAGGTTGTTCAAAATGTTCAAATACCATGGTGTCAAATAAGCATAAACTTAAAAATGAAAAATTTGAAAGTGTGTTAATTATACATGGAAATGACGATTTTGAGAATTAATAAAACTTACACAAATTTAAATTTAAGCTTTAAACGGCCATTGCGGTTTCGAGGAAAATGTTACTGTCAACATTGATATTTTATTATTATTGATATAAAATTATACAGTATATAAATGTTTTCATATAATTATTTAAACATGATTGCGATAGAGTACTGGATTTTATTTATCATTATTATTCAGTTCTTCTCAGAATGTATTCTGACAAATCTGAATGACTAGTCATTTAAAAAATTGATATTATTTAGAGTACAAACTTTCTGTATATTTGTGAACATTTAAAATTGACCTCATTATCTCGTGTGATTGTCAATATATATAATGTTTAAATTGTTGTAAGCTAATATTACCCCTTCGATATCTTTTAAAAGTTGGTTTGTGTTTAAATATGATAACATTTAAAATCCAAATGTCATAGGATATTGTACAAATGATAGGTCTTTAATAACTTTTTTTCGAGATAACAAGTAAGGAAAGTGCAGACAAAAATTGATTTTGTATTACTTACAATTGTACAGATTCAGCTAACCATTATATAAAAAGAAAAAATATTAAATTTCTTTTTTCTACAACAGTAGTGGTGCAATAATGTACCCTTGTCATTTAGTACCCGTAAATCTTTGGCAATCATGCAATGTATCTACATTTTTAAACATCCATTATTTCTGTGATAATTTTTCTTTTTCATACATGTTTGAAAAGTTTTTTGAAATTTAACAATCTTTGATAGGCAATTCATATTCCTTAAATCTTCAAGATTTTTCATATGCATCTATATATATGTATATTAAATATATTAAGGCTCTATGTATAAATCTATGTTCAAATATTTTAATGAAAGCATGACTGTGCTTCCATGGAATTCACCTTAAGTTTTCATTAATTTTCCCACCTGATATCGTGCGTAGATTATAACAGATGTGCGAGCACAGATGACTCAATTGATAATTACTGATTTATTAATTTTTGCCTCCATCATAATATTGTTAGCTCACCTGAGCTTGCTCAGGGTGAGCTTTTAGGATCATTGAATGTCCGTCGTCCGTCCACACTTGTTCGTTAACACTCTAGCGGTCACATTTTTGCCTCAATTATCATCAAACTTGGTCAGGATGCTTGTCTAGGTCATTGCTCGGATGAGTTCGAACATGGTCATCTCGGATGAAAAACTAGGTCACCGGAGCTAAAAATAGAAAAATCTTGTTAACACTCTAGTGGCTACTGTTTTGATCCAAGTAGCCTGGAAATTAGTCTGAAAGTTAAACAATCACACATGGGTAAAAAACTAGGTCACACTGCTCGAATATGGATAATCCTTGTTAACACCCTTGTGGTCACATTTTTGACTCACCTGTCATGAAACTTGGTCAGAGTGCTTGTCTAGATAATTGTTCGGATGAGTTTGATGGGTCAGGTGAGCGATCTAGGGCCATTATGGCCCTCTTGTTAATGTTATTATTATAATTTCATTGCTTCAATTCATTTAAAGTTATGTATCATATTCTATAGTCTTTAATAAGT